TGGTTGACAAATAAAGATGAGACCTTTGGTCTGTTGAATAGGTTTTTGGGATGCACTTTAGGCTTAATTCTCACTGACGATTATTATTATTATTATTATTATTATTATTGTGCAAAAATGTGAACCCCATCTCATTTTCCCACAGTGTTGCAGAGGAGCAAAGGAGCACATAAAAGGGACAAAAACAGGGGGTGTACTGCAGCACAGTCAACCTGGCAATCAAATTGTGTTTATATTTTTTTCCTCCTTCTCGTTTTCTCGGCTTGTCTCTGTGTACCTCTTAACGTAATTGCTTTAAAAAGAAAAATATCTTGTTTGCCTAAGAGCCAAATGCAGTCCCACTGGGATGAGAAATAAAGGTGATACTCATGATCACGGCCCAAGCATTCTTGTGTCCTACCATTAAGTTGATGTGCTTAACAGTGCATAAGATGGTTCTGATTTTTGGGTGAATTACCAAGAATTGAACCTTAATGGTCCCAGTGTGTTTATCTACCCAGTCTGCACAGTAATGGTTCCAGAGTTATTTGAATGGAATCGACCTTGCTTTTAAAGCAGAAAGAAAGTAATGTGGTGCCAGCTCTTTGATAAACAAGAGAAAATGGATACAACAAAACAAAGTTTTGGTATATTGAGGGCATTAACCTAAGCAGATGTCTGCGGATTTTATGGGCAAGTTGTCTGCATAAGTTGATATAACAGTGTCTGCCCATAAGACCTGGAGACTGGATGTGACAATTGAGTGCTATTGAGTCTAAGTCTGCACACTCACCGTCAGCCCTACTGGAGCCCAGTGGGTGGAGTAATGGGAAAAGAAAAGAGGAAAATGGCGGTTCAGTGTCTTTAAGTTAATGGGTCTATTAGGAGCAGGGAGGGGATAACGCTTATCTGAACTGTGAGAGAGCTCAGCTCAGACACAAAGTCCCTTTTCTTTTCTTCCAAAAGACACCCCCGTCTTTGATGTATGCCTCAGGTGTTTGGGTTTGTTTTTTTTTCCTCTGGTGTCCCACTTCTCCAATAATAGCTGTACCATAGAGTGAAGAATACCCATACACATTTATATTGTTTAAAATAATGTTGCTTTGTAGGTTCTTAAGTTATAGTCTGCCAGGTTTCTCACTTAGATTTTGAAGTTGTTTTGCTGGCACAGTTACTGTTAACGAATTATTTAAGACTTCCAAATGCACAGATTAAAACCCAAGGTCTGGAAAACAAATTTTTATTATCACATAGAAAAAATGTTACTATTGTCCCCACAAGATGCTAAAGTCAGTGTCTGAAATAAGCAGACAGTATAAACCCACACGGGGTGTTTGTGGGTTTATTTATTTATTTAGGTCCCAGGACAGTGTGTATACCAGCATTATGTGCTCACATGTAGCACATAATTGGGACAGTCCGTGCCAGCTGCATTCTCACTAGTTTGTGCTTATTTTATTATAGCAGGTGGTGCTTGTAAGGAGGTAAGACATACCTGTGAATTCCTCAGAGCAGACAAGCTGGCTACCAAAGGAGGAGGGGGGGTTATATCACACATGGAAAGATTGCATCAGCCCAAGCCTTTCAAACAAAAAAAAAAAACTACTTGCCACAAAGTGAAATGACTTGGCCAGCTTACAGCAAAAACGCAAAAGTTAAGATTGGTTAATAATCTTGGCAAAAAAAATGAATGAACTCATTAAAGCAATAAGCTGTTAAAACAGGCTAGCATGGGTTGATTTTTTTTTTCTTGTAATTATTAGTGAATGTGCGGTTAGAACTACTAGCTAAAAGTTGTAGATAAGTAGGTAATAATCAATAAATAGTTAACTTAAAGTATTCTTATTGTTTTTATATAGATATGTATATATTACGTGTACTGTAATGGTAAATGGCCTGTATTTGTATAGCGCTTTACTAGTCCCTAAGGACCCCAAAGCGCTTTACACAACCAGTCATCCATCCATTCACACACTGGTGATGGCAAGCTACATTGTAGCCATAGCCACCCTGGGGCGCACTGACAGAGGCGAGGCTGCCGGACACTGGCGCCACCGGGCCCTCTGACCACCACCAGTAGGCAACGGGTGAAGTGTCTTGCCCAAGGACACAACAACCAAGACTGTCGGAGCCGGGGCTCGAACCGGCAACCTTCCGATTACAAGGCGAACTCCCAACTCTTCAGCCACAATCGCCCCTAAATACCATGTATTCTGTTTTTGTACCACTATTATTTTTGCACCATGACACCAAGACAAATTCCTCATGTGGGCAGAAACTTCGAAATAAACAAATAAACATTTTCTCAGCTAAATATGATACATTTACCTAATGAGGGACAATAAATTATATTTCTATAAGCTGTAAGCTGAAAATTAGTATTTTATGCATTTAAACTGGGAAATTCATTGAAAAAATAAAAATTCTGCGTATAAATATATATGCGTAGCTTACTCGATTTTAGGTATTTAGTGTAAGACTCACTTTAACTTAAAATGAAAACGGTAACAGGTAATGATGGACTGTTTAAGTCCATTTGACAGCCCTGAACTTAAAAGATGATCGCTTGGTCATGCAGATCCTCTGCTCAATGTCTATGAAAGCCAGATGGTGCAGAATATGTAGGAAAATGGCTAAAGCTACTCTTAATTGTTGGCTTTAGGGGATAATTGTCCAAGCTAGACTGTCTACTGTATTAAGACAGAGCTGCTCAGGTATTACGATTACTACACTATCACCTTTTCACTAACTGAGGTAGGGGTAGGCAACACATTACTAAGACAGACACTGTGTCTACAAGGCAGCCATTAGGCTCAACAATAGATCCCTGCTGGGCACTCAGCAGGGGGAGCTTGTTAAATGTGTTGACCTATTCTCCCAAATTAGTCTTGAACTATTATTGCTCAGTTAGTCCCCATCTTACTGACTGTACTCGTCTACCCAAGCTCTGGAACCAGTCTCCGCTCATCAGATTGTAAAAGTTGACTAAGCTGTTGCTCAGTGGAGGACTTGCAACCATGGAGGGCTCAATGGTGCATTGTCCTCACAGCAGACAGCGTTGACACACACAAATGTGGTCAGTCAGAAAGCACTTTACTTTGTCATCTCTGATCACCAGCCACAGGAGGCTGGTTAGGATAGAGACTTCTTGTTTGTAAGAGAAAGTCTTAGTGCATCAGCCTCAGATACAGATCTAAACCTAGAGACAGACGATATCAAAACAAACATGACGATGCTGTAATGGAGTTCTGTTGTATTAACAGAACTTGACAAATGAGGGTCTTTATCTATGGTTGACAAATAAAGATGAGACCTTTGGTCTGTTGAATAGGTTTTTGGGATGCACTTTAGGCTTAATTCTCACTGACGGTGGATGCTATACATTGCTGTGTTATTAAATTATTTATTGTTATTATTTTGTAAAAAATAATAATAATAATAATTTGAAGTATTTTTTTACATATTTTCTCAGGATATTTTTCCCACCTCAAATGTGCATAGGATATTTATGGACATGTTACTAGAGAAAGAAGAATTGAAATGGTCTAAATTCTCTAAACTGATCTGGAATATGTCATTATGTCACTGTATTGGTTAATGAAACAGGAATTTTCTCAGCTTCTATTCCATGAAATGGATAAATTAAAGATGGGCCAATATTTTACATCTGGATCTGAGGTTGGGTTATTGGTAGATCAAAGCCAGGTGTGCCAGAGGAGACACTGGTTTGCTAATGAGAACTGGAGGCTCTTCAGATGAGTCTCCAATTAGGAAGCAGGAACACATGAAAGAGGCTTGCTGTATAAGGGAGACAGCCTGACTGTCTACAAAACCTCATTTATTTATTTTTAAATAGAACTTTCAGAGATGCAAAACAACTTCATACACAAACTGCATTCCAAAAACGCTGGGATGCTGTGTAAACAGAAACAGAATGCAATGATTGTTATATATTAGAAACCCATATTTTAAATTAATATTAGAACACAGAAAAATTGTGGAACAGTTCCTTAACATAAAATGTTTAAGGACTGGTGAATATCTAATGAATCATCTAAATAAAATTGTTTGAAAATTATGCAAATCTGGAGAAATCTCTGTGCGCAAGGCTGAAAATCATTGGACCCCCCATGATCTTCAGGTGCTTAAAAACAGGCATTCTGTGATGGAAATCACTGAATGGGCTCAAGAACACTTCCAGAAATCATTGTCCGTATACCCTGTTTGCTGTGTCATCCACAAATACTGGTTAAAGTTTAGTCTTGCAAAAAAGCGGCCCTGTGTGGACATAATCCAAGAATGCCAGGCCAAAGGTCATTTAAAATGGACCGTAGCGAACTGGAAAAGTGTTCCACAGTTAGATGAATAGAACTTTGAAATTATTTTTGCAAAACATAGACTCCACATTCTCTACACTAAAGATGAGACAGACCATCCAACTTATCACCACTCAGTTCAAAAGCCTGCGCAAGTGAAAGCACATCATTAATACTTAAATGCACACACAACCTTTAAAACAACATCCTGACAACACAATTTTCACTGTTTAGCACGACGATCCTAAACCTGTAACTGCAGCTATTACAACAACGTGGCTTTGTATAGTTGAAGAGTCTGTGCACTGAAATGGCCTAAATGCCATCCAGACCTTACACCAACTAAAAACATTCGGAGCATCATAAAATGAAAAATAGGAAAAGAAGATCCGGGACTGCTGAGCAGCTAAGGTTTTATAACAAAATCCAGCAGCTGCTCTCCTCAGATCTCAGACATTTACAGACTATTTAAAAAAACGGTAATGCTACACAGTCGTAAACATGACCCTGTCACAACTTTTTTGTGTGTGTGTGTGAAATTTTGCTGCCATCAAATTCAAAATGACCCTTTTTCCCCCTGAAAACTGAAACTTTCCTTTTTTCTTTCTCATTAACATTTTTGTGCCCTGTACAAATATAAAAGCAAATGCAGGAGACTGTGTGACTTAACTGAGTGGTGAAAGTTGGGGCTGGGATTCCCCAGTGTTTCCCCCTCCCCGCCCCCCTAGTCCACACACCATCTGCTTACTGCCACCCCCCCTGTCGTCTGCGGTCATCACAAAACAAGTCGTTATCTCCAAAGACACGTCTCTGCATCTTTGATTGGTGGTTGATAACAGACCTACAGACTCATGGGGCTGGCTGACCTTGCTGTATATATATCATGCCATTTCAGCAGAGACAGCAGAGACTGGCAACGAGAAAGCTGGTTTAAAGCTCTCCCTGTTTAACCTTGTGTCCTCTCCTGGTTTGGCTTTCTGATCCTGACATTATGGCTGTTTTCTTCACTGTGGCTCTTATGACTATGGCTTGTCCTTTACTGGCATTTGACATGGGTCAGTCTACTCGTTGTGTTGCCATTCCCCACAAGATGCATGTCTGCAAAGATGTTGGATACTCAGAGATGCGTTTGCCAAACTTTTTGGGCCACAGTAGCCTGGAAAGCGAGGTGGTGCCACATTCAGAGGATTGGAGGCCGCTGTTGCAGACAGGCTGCCACCCACAAGCACAAGCCTTCCTCTGCTCCCTCATTGCCCCTGTTTGTCTTGACACGTAAGTAGATTTTCTGTGTTGAGCTTTGCTTTCTTTTTATTCTTTCCTTTAATAATCATGACCGTTGTAATCTTGTTTGTTCACTGTGTAACATCTTGTTGCTATTTGTTCAGTTTCATCCAGCCCTGCCGTAGTCTGTGTGTGACAGTAAGGGAAAGCTGTGCCCCAGTGCTTGCCTGCCAAGGACACTCATGGCCTGATGTTCTTGACTGTGACCGATTCCCTGCTGAGGAAGACATGTGTCTTTCTCACCATGGAAAACCTGGCATCTTTTCTAAAGGTAAAGACCACATGTTCATTATTAAGGATTATAATGTTTAATTCCACTGGAATAATAGAAAACCAGTTCCTTACTCTTTCAGGTTGTTTTATGATTACCACATATGCTCAACAATTATTTTAAATAATGTTTGATTTTTATCGCAGGGTTGCCTAAATCTGCCTGTCAAAACTGTCCTTATGTGGAAGAGGCTCCTGAATCAAAAACAATCTTGGATTCTTTCTGCAGCCATGATTTTGGTACGTTCAAAAAATCTCTCAAAAAGCTGCGGTATAGTCACATCTGTTTGTTTTTGTCACAACTTCCGATTTTCCTCATGTTTATTTATTTATTTATTTTCCTTTACAGCTGTTACTGCTAAACTCCACCGTCTTCGCCTACCCACAGGAGAGCCAGAATTTGAAATTGAGGGGCGGGTCGAGTTTATCCGTCAGGGTCCTCTGTTGCTCTATGACACCCGGCATCTGCTCCAGCAGTGGCTCCTTATCAACGTTAGATGTGCCCGTGCACTTCTGCGTCCTGGGAGGTCACAGCTTTATGTGCTGACTGGTTCTGTGCAGCATGATGGGACCCTTTCTCTGACTCGTGTCTTCCCTTGGCACAGAAAAGATGCAAACATTGCAGTGGCATTTCGAAAATGGAAGCACCACAGATGTTGAAGGGACATGGACCAATACAGGAGCTTGAAATCTGTGTTTTGAGGCACAGATGGAGCTCAGTGGCACTGGGTTTTAAGAAGCATTTGTAAAAGAGGGTAATTGTTATGAGAACAGACTCTGACTCAAGCAATTTGCTCATCTGAGCAGGTCGCCGTCTCATTTAATCTTTGTTAGTGCTTTTGTTAGCACACTGCATTAAGACGCACTGAAACCTGTACATAGTATTATACATATAAATTTATAGTAGATTATATTTTCTGTTAAAAGCTGTATTTATGATGTTCCATGTGTTGTTTGGAATAAATGACAATAAAATAGTTGTCCTATGAAACCACATATTTGTGAGGTTTCTTTCCCTCATGCTTATGCTCAAAAGCCTTGCTTTAGCCTAGTATGTTTATCTCTTTAATACAACAGTTATTTAGTTATTGCTCTTACAGAAGATAACTAATACAAATCAGAAATAAAAATCAGTTAACACTTATGTCACCACAAGGTGGCACACTAATGCCACTTGTTCTGAAACATTGCATAATGTAAAACTAACACCTAGCATGCAGTAATGGTTACAAATTGGATTGCCTATAAATTGTTCTGCATAAGATACCAAACTGTTTTAAATGTCTTGATCACTATGTTCACAGCGTGAGGCCCATTCTGTGTAATGCTAATGAGAAGATCAATCACTCCCTTTACATTTCAATAGTCTTGTTTTCACAGCTCGGCCAAACAGACATAGTTCATGAACAATGGATGTGTTTGGTACTTTTGAAAAATCTACTTTTGGGTTTTATGTTGTCTTGGAGTTTAAAATAAATGCTAAATATTTGACTGTTTTGGTGAAAGCCAATTCAGCCTCGGGAATAGCTGTGAAGTAAAATCATCAGCATTCCATATAATTCACAATGTGTCACATGTGTAATGTGATGTGATAAAGGTTACTTTGATAATGGTCATTTATTTAAAATCATTTATGTGAACTGAAAATGAATAGGAGACAAGCGCAACAAATTAAAAATCTTTTATTTATCCCCAATAATAATGTTCATTTCTTTATTTGAAATGTCTGAGTAAGTCTAGTGTCTGTAATACCTTTTCCCATGTGGGTACATTGGCTAAGTTGCTAAATAAGCAAATTGTATGACATGAAAATATCATTTTTATCCACTACAAACAAATTTGTGTTTGTGGAATTTAAGAATGGTGATTTTTTTTCTTTCTAATTGTTCATGCTTGAATTTTCAATGCGTGCCAACGCGCTGGTCCCGATGGACAGGCGGGATTCCATGTTCCTTTCCTTTCAGATCTCTCTATTTCATAGAGTCACACAACAGTCTTCAAGAATGCATGGCATCTCACAGACCTGCATGCTAAATTTGTGGGGTTTTTTCATGCTTAACAATGATCATCAATCACTACCCATTAGCCTTTATCTGTCATTCATTTATCATCATCAACCACCCTCATTTGAGTTGCCATTAAAACAAAACTATAATTGTGTAGTTTGTTTCCCTGTGTTCACAAAACAAAAATATTATTTCTTTCTTAACCAACAGAAAGTTCCACACATGGTAACCAAACACCACGTGACCAAGAGAATACTCTGGTCACTGAAAGTGAGTTCATGATGTTGTTAATGATAAAGACATATGGTTAAGATTACAAATAAGTAATCTCACTCAATCATAGTAGCAAGACATTTTTTTGGTATGATGACTGGAGTGAAGTTATATAGTAACAAGTTATTTAAGCTTTTCTTTCACATGCAACAACAACAACTGACAGGGTTGATTCTGACGCTATCTGTGGGTCTGGAATGAGCTCCTGTCACAACTACTGGAGCATGTAACGGGATCACAATCAGGATCAACTAGTACAGCTTCAACAAGGGTCTAGGGCTCACTGATACAGTGCATTTTAATGATTCACACTGCAGTTGAAAATGTTTCACTTTGTGTTCACTGCAAATCTCAGATGATTTTTTATGTTTGCAGGAATGAAGTATAAAATATAATTATGGCAAATTATGGAATATATATTCTGCGTCTTCTTAATACTCAAAAGTTCACTTTTAGTCCATATATAAATCCATCATCACCATGCATTCTTTGAAATAATTTGTTTTTTCCCCGTTATTCTTTTCAGCACATATTCGAAACATGGGTTACATTTCTGCATAGAGTTTAGTTGTTCTTCAGACTTTTTCCGGCTATAAACAAGGAGGATTCGACCATCATACCCTGCTGCTTCTGCAGAGACTCCAATGAAGTCAAAAATCATCTCTGCAGCCTGAAATGCACTCAGCTGGACTGTGATCACGATAGTGCGTGATTTATATACAATTCTGTTTTAAACAACAATTCATTATGGTTTTTGATACCCTCATTGTAATTATGCTCTTCCATTAACAAGATTATATTAAAGAGCAATGAATAGTATATAGTAGGGTGATCACTAAGCACAAACAATGCCTAAAACAGGAGTTATTGAAATGCTTTATTTACAGTTGGACAAAAATATTTACAAAATATAGAAAGTGAAACATGAGTTCCAATGGACTTGGATTACAAACAAAGCATAAGTGTAGAGCTTATGAAAATGTGAAATATAAAACAGCCTAATATGGAAGTGCAGTAAATGAAGTGACTCATTCGGGCCTTTAATGGACTCCAATTACAGTCTCTCCTGGAAATACTTGTCAGTGTAATAGCCATGAAACTGCTTACTGAAGCCAGTGCACTGCAATGTGATTGACCAAGCAGCTGAACCAAATTGCATTTATCATGCCAAGAAACGTGCCATACACATACACAGACAATGTTTCATCCATATATTTTTAGAACCCTCAGAGTATTGTAGTCTTTTTATTTTGTAGATGTAAAGTTTGCCCTCCGTACATTATGACCTCTCATGTGTCTTTGGCACTCTTTTGCTTTGATGATCTCTCTGTTTTTGCATTAGTGTAATTCTGTGGTTCTTCTTCCTGACCAAGACCGCGGGCCATGAGCTCATCCATTGGGGAACGAATGTTATGAACCTCCTTCTCTTTACAGTTTCGCCACTTCATGCGCCGGTTCTGGAACCAAATCTTTACCTAAAGCAGTGCGACAGTGTAAAGGTTTTAGTTCAGTTTGTGAAGTCCTTCATTATAATTATGTTAGCTTCTCATTTTAAGTTGTAAATCCAGTTTAGAGATCGTGGTCACTGTGTGGAATTTAGGTTTGATCTTTAAGGTGAGCTGTTACAGCTGTCACTTTCCCCTGCACCCTTTTGTAAGGCAGGATCACATATTCGAAACATGAGCTCATTTGAATTCGATTACCTGTGACTCCTTAAGGCTGAGATTAGCTGCCAGTTTGTTCCTGTCTGTCTTGCTAATGTACTTCTGTCTTCGAAAGGTCCTCTCCAGCTCCTTCCTTTGTTCTTCAGAGAACACAGCTCTCCTAAGGATCCCTCTACGTGAGTTTGGACTTGCATTAGCAGACCACATCTGAATGTTTGCTCCCTCTGAAAGTGAATTAGGAACAATAACATGTCAGTTTATTGACATCAGTTTCAAGTACTAGACATATTCAATGGGCTATTTATTAGAGCAATAAAAATCAATGGTGGGTAGTTCATCTCTGCAAGGTAGGTTGTAACACATACTGTATCAGTTTAAACAAAAAGTGTAGATTCATGAAAAAACATCTTGGAGAAGGTAAGTAGCAGACAGTGGAACACCAAGGTAGTGTCTTATAAACTGAAACAGGTTATTCAAGCTTTGGATAAAATCGGATCTTCTCCACACTTATAATATATCCACTTACTGTTTCACATTTCCTACTTTTTCAAACCCAGTTGTCTTTGTCACACTTACTTTATCACACATTCTTGAATCCTCTTTCTATTTGTCCAATTTAACAAACTGGGGGTGACTAAATGAGAATAGAAAACCATTTCAACCTGGAAAAAGGAGATTTGGTGACCTGTGAGGGCCAATACCACGCTGCTTCACTCACAGGTGCACACACAACAAAAGTCAAGTGAAACAATTTATCTGATCTATTCAACATTGCCTTTTTAATCTGTACGACAAATCTGCACATAGACCACCTCTAGAGAGCACAAAACTGGTTTGGACATGCTTTTCACTTCTCTATTGGCATTCAATAGCTTTTACTTAAATAGCTGATTACCAGGTCATTCCTGGGCAACGTGTGTCTCCCCTAGTGGGCCAACTATAGAGCCATATGGGACACCAACAATAGAGCTGTTCAATGGAAATGCCATTACTCGATGGTTCAGTGGCCCAACACTAAATCTTTTCTCTTGCAAGTTTGAAGCCAGTTTGTATGTGAAGATGAGCTCAAATAAGTCTATAAAAGTCACTTTCATTGAATGCTTTATGTCCTAGTCAAGAGGTCTTCAATGGGCAGGAATGAGTGTTGAAGGACAGGAGAAAGACGGGGGGTCGGCGGACCAAGCTCTGTAGCCACACAATGGGTGGGGGATGTTACTTGTCCAGCCCTCTTCTACTGAAAAATGGGAGACTTTTTTGTGCTTAGTGGAGTTCATTGCTGGAGTGAAAAATTGCAGTGAGGTCGCGTGTGGATGGTGGAGTGAAAGTGGCAATTGGTCACGGCTAGAGTTGGCATTGTTTCGTTGCCAGGCACTGTGGGAAAGTGTCAACCTACTAAGGGGACCCCAGGGACTTGTGGGATGACGGCTTTCTGATTTGTGCTATTTTGCACGACTCTTGACAGGCATCACAGGGTGCAGAAACTAATAACTTCCAATTAATGAGGGAAAATGACCAAATATCAGAACTGCCTGACTTATTTCAGTCTTTTAAATGATGATGTAGAATTAGTACTCTTCACAAATCCTAAATTAGATACTTTGAACCATGCCTTAAAAAATGTAAATTTTCCTTCAGTGGAAGCAGTAATAGCTTTTGTAACTGTTGCCTCATTTTATTCACCTTCAAAGTTTTATTTCAAACTTTTTGTGTTGCCACCCAAACTTGTTAATGTGCTAAGGGAGTAAAGCTTTGAAACATTTGGCCTTACTCAGCAGTAAGAATCACCCACACCTGGTAGTTATTATCTTAATATAGCAGAAGACAAGATGTTTATTAGTGCTGCATATTTGCACTATTAAATGTGTATTTGCATGTACAAAAAAAGGTGCGTGTCTGTGTGGGGGGGCCTCTGGGACTCTTAAAAGCCTTGCAGCCCACCCCTCTTTCCCTTTCCTAAACAGCCGTGAATGCTTATGAATAGAGCTGTGCAGAACTGAACGGAGAATTAGCTCTTTGGCATTGCATCGGTAATTAGCTGTGGAGAGCATGGGAGACCCTGCTGCTAATGCTTAGAGAGTAGCTGAGGCATTGCTGATGAGGCATAAAACACTCACTGGAGAAGACAGGAGGGGGGCTGGACCCACCGCAGCATGCCAACAGATACTGCGGGCTCGGCAGGAAAACACTGCTCAGCACATCTGCAAACACAGGGACAGTCAGATACAGTAATGCGATTGCCAGGTGTAATATCTGTGATCCCCAAAAGAACTTACCTGAATCACTAAGCTCATATTTCTGAAGGCCTCCAAAACTGAGTCTCAGATTGTATTTAAACATTAACGGTTTTAAAATAAACTGGCATTTGTGCGAATTATGATTAGACATTTTAAAATATTTTTAGAAGTCAGATTTTGTAGAAACTAAGTAAATAGTAAAATTGATGCATTTACTTACATCTTTGCTTACCAGTTGTATGTTGACTGAGCTGTTATCAGTCACTAGTTTTCTGTCTTTTAACTGACATTTATTTGTAAATTTGCATAGAATTTAGAGACTGTTCTGTTAAATATTTAGACTACATGTAATCACATTTTTTAGCATTTACAAATTGATGTTAAAAAACTATTTTTTTTAATTTATTTATTTTTTTACAAAATGTCATTACTCAGTGATTATTATTTCTTTCATGCAAGGGTATAAATCTGTTAATTATCTGTTCATTTTTTCATGTCTTGGACTCACACCATCGTGGTTTAGTGTCATCATGACACTATTAGCAAAGATGGATATACTTACCTACTTTCATGTTTTAGAAAACCTCTAAGCAGCATCAAAAGTAGCAGTATTACATTATTAATTGAACAATGTTTTTCCTCTACATATCTGGGTTTGATAGATGGTGCAAGACCAGGGGGAAAAAATTAGTGTGATTTGAATGTAAAGTTGTAGCTTTACATTCATAAAAAAAACAACTACATTACATTACAATCAAATTAAAATTACATTACAAGGAAAACAGTTTACATTTTGTTTAAAGGTTCACTTGCATAAAAACAATCTCTTTACCAGAACGTGGCAGATGTGGCCCTCCTAAGTCTTTCACTGGCCGAAAACTTTGGGTCCGACTTTCCAAGGCTCCGTCTTCAGGGCCCCAGGTTCTCCTTGGGCATTCACACGCTGCTCGTCTCAGGTGTCCACTCGTTGTCCATTTTGAAGCGGCTGAAGGTGTCTGAGACTGCAGCAGATTGTCGATAAGAAAACTCTTTCCTGAGCTCCCATATCCCGGTACAGCAGGAGGACAGCCAGCCATATTCTTCCTGGTACAGCTCTGAACTGAGACCATCCTGATCACACAGTGACCTGAACACTAGAGTTTCCTCTTCAGCAGTCACAGCCCAGTGACACTAAATTCTCCTTTAATCCCTTTTTGAGTGACTAGGCCAACTTCATTAAACTCTGAAAAAACAACCACAAAAAAAAAAACAAAAAACAAAAGTTGTCTGCTCTTCCTCCTTCGGGCCTGCACTATGCTACAGGACTGTGTCACGATTGGCCGAGGGGCTCTAATGTGCTTCTCAATTCAGATAAGGCTGGGGCCTTTCTGGAGTGGCAGAAGGTGGGTCTGGCTCATTCATTATGTCAACTAGCCTATTAAATGATAGACACCAGAGACAATGAAGTGCTGGCCAAAGTTTAGCATGCACCAAACACTCTTCTGCAGTAGTAAATAGTTCTCTCCTTTCTCCAGCCTCCTTCGGAGCTCTATTGTGCACCATGCATGTCGTTCATTTGTCCTCTGTAAGAGTTTTTTCCATTGCTGAATGTTTAAAAAGAACATCTTGCGTTTTTCTGGAATATCAGTTGGCAAATTAATCCGATTGTAATGTTTTTGCCTCACTTATAAGCAAATTTCAGTAGGTGTCATAAAAAGAAAGTGTCCAGTTGCTTTTCTAAATCACTTGCACAAGACACCTTGCACTGTTTACAAGATAACTGGGCTTATTTAAGCATGCAGTTTAATTTCTTAATAAATAATGGAAAAACCCTTAATTTTTTTAGTTAAAATAAACCTTTTGATTGAAATTTACAATTTTTTATCTTATTTTTCTTCCCTCTGGTTGCAACTGATATTAGTTGCAATTTAGGGTATTTTTTTCTGTAACATATTATATGCAATAAACAGTGCAATGAGCAACATTTGTTTATGTTTGAAGACAAACCCTCAGAACTATGATTTGTTCAGTTTTGGTAATTGTTGCAGAACTCTGTTTGTCAGCTTTAAAAATTTTACATGTACAAATGATTTTACAGAGATCCATAAAGCTCCTCAGGCAGAAAAATCAACCATTTAAATATTCAGTTTTCACTATATGGATTGTATGTGTTGCATATTAGTGTGTTGCAGCTTCGAGATATAGGTGGCCACCCAAATACACACGTGTGTTAGTGTTTTGGCATAAACACATCCAATAAGAGGCTTGTGTAACCTTTCACACTGCAGCTAATGATCCTCAACATTGTCATAGAAAGTCCAACAAGAGGGGCGACAGACCCGTAGTTTAGGCACAGTAAACAGGCATATCCACACTCATCTGGGAGCGTGTTTGTGTGTTTGTGGGGCCGACTGGGAGCGCCAGGCTGCGCGTGTAGATGCCTCATGCTGAGCATGGAAATTGGCCCAGACAGCTCAGGCTATTGTGTGATGGCCAGGGAGCCAAAGGTTGCTTGTAATCAAATTTGAGGTTTTATTCCTCAGGCTGGTGGAGAACGCATAGTGCTCTGTCACATGATGAGTGTTAGCGCGTCTGCGTGCACTTTCCACTGTTGTTAAGCGAGTTCATGTTAACATGCTTCACATAGACCAGTGGCTGTGATAGCCCCCTGAAGCTTTTTGTTTGCCGGAGAGTCATTTGTTTACATGACAGAGAGAAAGCAGGAGGGAAGCCTAGACTCTTGTTTAGTGCTATTTTTAACTGTTTTTGTTTCTTAAATAGCTTATTGTGCGTCAAGGCATGTTTTATGTGATAACACTGAGGACTTTCACCAAGTCACGTTCTCTGTTCTTAAATTAGCATTTGAGCAAAAAATGTCAGTGTAGTAAGTTTAAAAGAGGTCAGAAACATGATGACCCTCATCAAAGCATTATGCGCGTCTATTAACATCGTATATTTCTCTGTGTTCAGTGACTTTTTTTTTTAGGTAGAACAAATCTCATCCAACTTTGTGCACATTTTAAAAGGCATCAGTAAGCACGTATCATTATTAAAATTCACCACTGTGTAATTAGCCAGATTCCAATAGAGCTCTCCAGGAGAGGGAGGTATAATTAGGCTTTTCTTGACGGGTAGGTCTTAGAAACACCCTGAAGCAAGTTCATGTGAATTTATTTGATGCCCATCTCTTTTTAGAACTGGAGGGAAAAAACAGGGCTCCCTTCATTCAGAATCCTCACAATGGGTCTGTTGAAAACTAGCACTCTGCAGACCGACTGAGATCCCTTTTCTCTCTTTTTTAACCCCACTAAAGCTCTTAAAAAGATACTGGCCCATTGCACACGCAATTGATATTCCACCACTCGAACTTAATATCGTGAATGGAGGGCCAGGTTCTATGAATCAGGAGGACAATGCGCTTAGTTTAGCAGCAAACTGGCACTTTGTGTGCAGTGTCTATGCCCCAGAACAGGAAGTTTCTAATGTGAGCCTCTCAATTGTGTGCCTATAGAGTTCTAATGAGCTTCTGTATGCTGAGTGAATGGCTGCGGGCCATTCACCATGAGGGCCCAATGAGCCAGCTCACTGCACATGTTCACAATAGGATCCTGGGGGAATGGGAGTGGCTGTGTGGAGCAACTGCTCTGCATGGACAGTCTATAAAGGCTTCAACATACCTAAGACCACATTTTCATTAAGAGTACGCCACATTAAGCTGATTGCAATGAAAAGCTTTTGTTTTTATCTCCACTTTAAAGCTTTGCATGTACGATACATGAGTCTTTATTATCAAAAGAGAGCGCTGAAAAAAAAGTAGTGAGAGTGAATAATTGTATTAAATGAAATAAAGTGCCACTATGGTGTCTTATTGTGTACCTTTCACAAAACAACGTCATGCCTGTCGGATCATATTTGTGGAGCTGTGCGGCACTTAGGCATGAGAAAAACACATAATTTTCAGAATAAAAGGCTGTCAAAGCTGTGATCGAACTTTTCTGAGTTTTCAACGTGTACATATTGCTAATAAAAGGGCAACAATGCAGCCCCATTAATATAGATTTAAAATTCTTTTTTCCCTTTACCATCTGAGGTTAGATATGAAATATCTATATATAATTTAATGTAAGTGATTTTGACTCATAGAATCTGTAATATTCAAATATAGTGTGCAAAAATGTTTTATTAAACAGTCAGTTTCTACAGAAAATAATAGGGCCCTTAATGCAGGGTGACTCTGCTCACAGAGATCTGGTAGTACATAGTTTGTCTTGCTAATTTATGTCATTTATCTTGATTTATGTCTCATCCCTGAACTCACTGCACTCATAAGCCACTTAAATCCTGCTAGTGCCAGGTTTGGCTAACTGCCTTAATTATTTGTGGCATGGATTCAAACAGGTGCTGCAAACATTCCTTAGAGCTTTTGGTCTATATTCACATGCTAGCATCACACAATTGTTCCTGCACATAAATGATGCAGATCCTGTTTTTACCACATCCCAAAGGTGCTCTATTAGATTGAGATCTGGTGACTGTGGACGTGAGCAAAGTGAACTCACTGTCATGTTCAAGAAATCAGTCTGAGCTCATTTGAGCTTTGTGACTTCCCTCTGAGGACAGAAACACAGTGGTTAGATTGTGATGGCTAGATCATCAACCATACTGAAGTAGGCTGTCGGTTTAAATAATGCTCTGTTGTAATTAGTCTAAGTAGTTGTGTGCTAAGAAAATATCCTCCACACCATGACATCACAAGTTGGGATACAAGTCGCCATGTGACTGGTTAATTAGGTATTAACGAGCAACAGTTATACCAAGTAAGTGGCCCGCGAGTGTATGTTGCCCATTTTTCGGGTAGTTGAGCATTTACCCTTTGGCATGGTCCAAGAGTGACACTGTCTGTTTGGCCTCAGTACTGCTCCACTGTGATCGAGTGCCTGCAATGCTCTGTCATGTACCCACGATGGCGCTGAGAGAACGGGGACCATCAATATTTTAACAGCGTGATTCCCAAAACTCTGTCTGGTTTTTGCATCAGCATCAAATACTTAAAAATGCAGCTTTGCAACAAATAGCAGATGACTTCCATCAGTCCACTGCAGCTTAATTTAAATATTTTTCCATTTATATTAAAAATAATATTCATAATAATTTAAAAAAAAAATGTCAAAGCAAAGGTATTAGAGTACATTACTGGGCAGGATGATGCAATAAAACGTTACAGGTTTAATAGAATATAATTCAAATTAGAAACTCAGAAAAGGACATTATAACATAGAAATATGAACCAAATGAATCCCAGGAGACCCCTGTGGGAACAATATGCAAAGTTTTTTTTTTCTTTTTTCCCAGCAGTTCATTCGTATTCCGTCACTGCTACTTTAAGTGATTTTAATTTTGTAGATCTTGCATTAGTATGTCTATATGGTATATTTATTTCCTAAGTGAACAAGCCCCTGAGAGCTTTGCAATGCATCATCCATCTAGTTTTCATTATTTATTTATTTATTTTTTAGATAAATGAAAGTACCGCTGTTCTTCTGCCTTTGCCTTGAGAGATTTGACGTGCGAGCGCAGGTGTGTGTTGGCAGTGCGCGTGCTTATTACTTTTCATTCTTTGCTGGGCGCATGCTTTAATGACTCTTATTTTCCTGATGGCACTTTAGGAAATGACAAGTTGTGGGCAATACAAAGTAATTACATTTCCTGTGTCTGGACCCAGAAGAAATGGAATTATTAATAATGAATAGTGGGTTGGTCGCCCTCTCAGACAACAGATGTGACGCTGCATGAAGAGCCATTGCTTGTCTTTGTTTTGGTTACAATAGGCACCCATTAGCTGCATGCTGTAGATGCCCGAACAAGCCATCTCAATTGGTACAGATAATAGCCTGTTTGTCAAAAAACATCTGTTTTGCATGAATTATAGTTAAAACAAAACATGTTATTGGCATTGACGAAGGCTATATTGAAGGAGAGGCACATTTAAATGGCAAATGTGCTGGTGTTAATCTGAGGTCCTTGGGATGGATCTGAGCACCACAGCGGCCCAAGAATCATATCTGCTGATGCCCACTTGTCAGCTCGACTTCAGAAACCAGCATAGCCAGCAAAAGATTTTTCTTGTCATCCAGGGATTGGCCTGAGTTTGTTAAGGACTTATGATCGATTGCCCCTGAGAAGGCCTATTGGAAAAGTCTTCAATTTATGTCCCTCTGGCAGAAAATTGATCAGGATTTAATGAAAATGTAATAATTTCAAAATCAACATCACTGGCATAACATGGATGCTGATTAAACAGTTAGATTTCAGAATGGTAGTATGTGCCGTGATAAAGAAGAT